ATTCTCCAAACCTTGGTGCGCAGGAACCCAACAGAACTGTCAGCCCATAAACAAGGCGGGATCTAGCTCAGTCCTGGAAAACCGCCCGAAGCAGGGAGGCCCTTCTTTCCAAAGGCCTTGGCTTTGCAGCCAGACTTGCTAAGTCAACAAAGTGGGAGCCAGCCCTGCCTCCTGCCTTCCTGTTCCACCCTCCAACTTCTCTTCCCTCCACCTGGTGGTTCTTTGCCTGCACGTACACACACACACACACACAGTCCTCCATTTCAGTCATTTGGATGGAAAATCTGTTCTAGGAAAACTGGGAGGCAGAATCCAGATGGGCCACCACCAGGGTTATTTTTTCTCTTTCTCCATATTCCAACCATCCTGTGAAAAGTTGGGCCCAAGAATGCAAACTCCGGAAAACCCAGGGCAGTGCAGCGCCAAGATATTTACTTAGCCCATGAGTTTACTTCCATCTCCCGAGGAGGCAGTCTCAGATTTCCTCCGGGCAGCAGCGTGTTGCTGAATCCAGCCAGTTGCTTCTGGACACAGCATGGTGTCTGCAGCCTCTACACAGTCTGCTTCTGAGAAAGCAAAGAAAGCCTCTCTGGAGGCCGGGCACAGTGGCTCACACCTGTAATCCCAGCACTTTGGGAGGCTGAGGTGGGCGGATCACGAGGTCAGGAGCGAGACCATCCTGGCTAACACAGTGAAACACCGTCTCTACTAGAAATACAAAAAATTAGCCAGGTATGGGGGCACGTGCCTGTGGTCCCAGCTACTCGGGAGGCTGAGGCAGGAGAATTACTTGACCAGGAGGCGGAGTTTGCAGTGAACCGAGATCACACCACTGCACTCCAGCCTGGACGAGCTAGACTCTGTCTCAAAAAAGACAGAAAGAAAAAAAGAAAGGCTTTCTGGAAAGGCCTGTCGTAGCAGGCACAAAGTGTGGAGAGTAACGCTTGAGGAAGCACCGCTCACCGTACCCTCTGGAGGTCTCATGGCCACCAACCCCACTGGAAACACGGCACCAAGTTCAGTTAGGGGCAGGATGAAGGGTTGTGTTGCCCTAGAATTTTCCAAAAGGAAAAAAGCCATCAAATATACATAAAACAGGTGGCTCACGCCTATAATCCCAGCACTTTGGGAGGCCAAGGTGGGTGGATCACCTAAGGCCAGATGTTCAAGACCAGCCTGGCCAACATGGCAAAACCCAGTCTCTACTAAAAATACAAAAATTGGCTTGGAGCAGTGGCTCACACCTGTAATCCCAGCACTTTGGGAGGCCGAGGCGGCAGATCGCCTGAGTTCAGGAGTTCAAGACCAGCCTAGCCAATATGGTGAAAGTCTGTCTCTACTAAAAATACAAAAATTAGCAAGGCATGCTGGTGGGCACCTGTTATCCCAGCTTCTTGGGAGGCTGAGGCAAGAGAATTGCTTGAACCCAGGAGGTAGAGGCTGCAATGAGCTGAGAGATTGTGCCACTGCACTCCAGCCTGGGTGACAGAGCAAGACTCCAACTCAAAAATAAATAAGTAAAATAAAAAATAAAGGCCCAACACGGTGGCTCACGCCTGTAATCCTTGCACTTTGGGAGGCTGAGGCTGCTGGATCACTTGAGGTCAGGAGTTCGAGACCAGCCTGGCCAACATGGTAAAACCCCGTCTCTACTAAAAATACAAAAAATTAGCCAGGCGTGGTGGCAGGCACCCATAGTCCCAGCTACTCAGGAGGCTGAGGCAGGAGAATCACTTGAACCCAATAGGCAGATGTTGCAGTGAGCTGAGGTCGCACCACTACACTCCAGCCTGGGCAGCAGAGTGAGACTCTATATCAAAAATTTAAAAATAAATAAATAAAAATACAAAAATTAGCCAGGCATGGTGGCAGGCGCCTATAGTCCCAACTACTCAGGAGGCCTAGGCAGGAGAATTGCTTGAACCCAGGAGGCAGAAGTTGCATTGAGCTGAGATCACAGCACTGCCCTCCAGCCTGGGCAACAGAGCGAGACTCTGTCTCAAAAAAAAAAAGAAAAAAAGCCATAAAACTACATATAAAAATTGTGAACAGTGCAACTCTGTTGGTTCCACTACAGTACAAAAATTGAAAGCTTTTCATCAAGATAGAAAACAAAAACAAAGAAAAATTATTAGCATTCTGGTATTGATCAAACAATGATGATACCTCAAATACATCATCTCAGCCTAGCTAATGATGCCCCCAGGACCCCAGCTGTAACACTCATGTCCCGGCTTCTGCAACCTGGCATCTCTTACATCCTGGGGATTCACAAGGAACAACTCTGTCCTCCTAACTATCCTAATTTCTGACCCTGGGCTTCCATCCAGGCCTTCTGGGCTCTCCTCACTTACTTGGAGTTGTGCCGGGGAGGTACTCGGGGGTGGGCATCAGGTCATCCACCAACCATCTTCAGAGGTCTTCCCTGGGCCCTTCCGGTCCATC